GTTCTGGGTTTCTTTTGTACCATCTTCTGTTGATCAGAAACTGGATTTCTGACCTATGCAACATCAGAGTCAGTGTGACTATTTAATTTGACACCCTCCTAATTAAAATGAGGTCAGGATATATCATTTCATAGAAGGATCATTGTCTTTTTAAAAGCCAAATAGGTCGGACATGGTGTCTCACACCTGTAATCCCAGCACTTTGGGTGGCAGAGGTGGGTGGACCACCTGAGGTCGGAGCCAGCCTGACCAACATGGAGAAACCCTGTCTTTACTAAAAACACAAAATTAGCTGGGTGTGGTGGTACATGCCTGTAGTCCCACCTACTCGGAGGCTGAGGCAAGAGAATCACTTGAACCTGGGAGGTGGAGGTTGCAGTGAGCTGAGATCCGCCATTGCACTCCAGCCTGCACAACAAGAACAAAACTCCGTCTCAAAAATAAATAAATAAATAAATTCTATTCAATTTCTCTGCACTCTAAGTAAAAAGAATAATATTACAATCCCACAAGTAAATGTGGCTCCCCCTTTCAATTCCTTCACAATTCTAACCTGGAATATTATTTTCCAAGGGTTATAAATTACAGGTTCTTTAGAGGGTTTGGCAAAGCACAGTCCTTTGCTTGGGGTTTCAAGTACAAGGAGTAGATTTCCATCTGGAATCACTGGAAAACCAAAACAACTCTTAATATTTAACTTCCTTATAAAATTATTTTCTTTTTAAAAAAGGAAAATTATAGGTAAGTATTTTGCTGTAGAAACCTAGGACAGGGCCAGGCGTGGTGTCTCATGCCTGTAATCCCAGCACTTTGGGAGACCAAGGTGGGGATCACGAGGTCAGGAGATCAAGACCACCCTGGCCAACATGGTGAAACCCTGTCTGTAGTAAAAATGCAAAAATTATCTGGGTGTGGTGGTGTGCATCTGTAATCCCAGCTACTCAGAGGTTGAGGCAGGACACTCTCTTGAACCTGGGAGGTGGATATTGCAGTGAGCCAACATGGTGCCAGTGCACTACAGCCTGGCAACAGAGAGAGACTCCATCTCAAAAAAAAAAAAAAAAAAAAAAAAGAAAGAAAGAAAGAAGGAAAGAAAAAAAGGAACCTAGGACAGAAAATTGCCCAGACATAGAAGACGGTTTGGCAGAGTGATTCCTGAAAGTCCAGGGCTGTAAGTTACACCTTTGGTTCCACCAGGAGTCAGCCTGGAGGCAGTCTCAGTCCTCGGGGCCTTAGCTTTCTAGGGTACACATGGGCCAAAATTACAATAGATCATCTTACTTCACAGAGATGATGTGAAAACCAATGACCTCAAGCTGGAAAAGATTTAAATTGCTTGAGAAAGTGAGGACAATAAAAACACTAGTGAGTGTTACTTTAACAATTATAATAATATATGATTCTGCAAGTGCAGTGCTGTAGCCCTGTGGGTGCTTACCAAATATTAATCAAATGAATTAACGCACAAATAAAAGATTCATGGTTTAAAAATAATTCAAAAAATCACCTTAATGTTTCCAAGATTGAAAAGTACTATGAGCATTTTAATTGTATTTTTTAACTAAAAAAATGTTTTGTTTTTTATCCCTAACTTTAACTCTAATGTTGTTTTTTAAATGTGTGTGCTTTCACACAATCTATTTCACAAAATGTCTAAAATACTCTACGAGGGGCCAGTTGCAGGGGCTCTTGCCTATAACCCAGCACTTTAGGAGGCTGAGGTGGGAGGATTGCTTGAGCCCGGGAGTTTGAGACCAGACTGAGCAACAGAGTGAGGTCCTGTCTTTATAAAATTAGCCGGGCGTAGTAGTGTGCGCCTGTGTTCCCAGCTACTGAGGAAGCTGAGGCGGGAGAATCTCTTGAGCCCAGGAGTTCAAGACTGCAGTGAACCATGATTGTACCACTGCACTCCTGCACTGCACTCAGTAGCAGGAGATTCCAAGTAAAGGGAGAGACAGGCTTGAGAACTGCATAGGCAATTCGTTGACAGAGTGAGACCCTGAATCAAAAAACAAACAAACAAAAAAAACCGTACCAAGTTATATCATGCAGTTTCTGGTCTTACCACTGACAGAGCTAATAATGGCAACTCTATTTTAAAAGTCTAATTTGTGGTGCCTAACTATACATCTCAAGTATGTTAGCTTTTGTTAATTCCAGGTTTCTGTTGCTATCCAAGGAAAGCAACGCTGGATTTTGTAATCAGGGTGCTGGAGCCAGATGTGTCCTTGGACACATGTGGGCAACAGAGAAAGACTTAACACTAGGAAGATGAGGAGAGCCTGAAGGTGGAGAGGCTCTGACAAGATTGTATAATTCATGGTTTCCAAATTTATTGCATTTGGAAACTCTTATTTATCATGAGGAAAACCGTAGTGCATTTTCACATGATGTCAGTTGTAATTGTACTTGAGAGGCTGTATCATGTACAGTGGTTCCCAAAGTGTTGTGCTTGAAACAGCAGCATCAGCATCACCTGGGAACTTGTTAGAAATGCAAATATTCAGGTCCCACCTCAGATGTACTGCATTAGAAATTCTAAGGGTGAGGTCCAGCAGTTTGTGTGTAACAAGCCCTCCAGGTGATTTTAGTGCAGGCCAAAATTGAGGAATCACTGGTATAGTGGCCAATATGGTGCTATGCTTTGAATATCTCCTCCAAAACTCATGTGAAACGTAGTCTCCAATGCGTTAGTGTTGAGAGGTGAGGTCTTTAAGAGATGATTAGATCTCAAGGGATCTGTCCTCATAAATGGATTAAGCCATTCATGGATTAATGGGTTAATGGATTAATGGATTATCATGGGAGGGGAACTGGTATCTTTAGAAGAAGAGAATGGGAAACCTGAGCTAGCACATTTGCACACCTTCAGCACGTGATAACCTGCACTGCCTTGGGACCTTGTAAAGTCTCCACCAGGAAGATGCCTCTCACCAGATGTGCCTACTTGACCTTGGACTTTTCAGCCTCCAGAACTATGAGAAACTGGAGCTTAAGCTCACGCAACAGAAAATTCAGTAAGATACATGGGCTGTGAAGATGCCTAAATTCAAATCCCAGCTCCACCAACTCACCAACTAGTGACTGAAGCATGCCTGTTTCCTTATCTAAGAAACTTTAATAGTATGGACAATAGAGTTATGATTAATTCACATCAAGTGCTTAAGACAGTGCCTGCCCCATGATAAATATCCAATAAATATAGGCCACTATGAAGCTTTCAGTATTAGAACAATGTTTGCAAGCCTACTGGTCTGAAACTGATTCTTGCTATCCCTGTATCTTGGGATTGCTCAGGGACTCGTCAAGGTGAGTGTCACAGCAGAGTACACTGAGTTGCCAAGAAAGTGGCAGGACTGTCTAGACTGTCAGGCAATATTAGCATGCTGTAGGGCAGTCAGGAAAGCACAGCCAGTAGTGGGGCAAAGTTGGTGTTACAGCTGGGCTCTCCGGGAGCAGATGCTGAGGTGGAGTTAGAGGGGCAAGATGTTTATTTAGAGATCAACACCTGTGGAGAGAAGTTGGCGGAGGAAGGAGAAGTGAATGAATGGAGGAAGATGTTGAACTGTGATACAGACCCAGTGAATCTTTGGCCAACTTAACGGGAAGCTCTGGAACTATGATTGATTGTCAGAACATGTCCTGGGTAGCCAAATAGTCCTGCTGGAAGCCCATGGACCTTGGACCAGGTGGTCTCTCTGACAGAGGCAGATCCTGAAGAAGCTGGAGGTAGTGCAGCACATCCTTCCTTCAAGGAAGATCAGGGCACCCCACTCCCTGACTACCATAGTCAGTAGCAGGAGATTCAAAGTAAAGGGAGAGACAGGCTTGAGAACTGCATAGGCAATTCGTTGAGCTGTGGATCACACTGAAGCACTTTGCTCTGCCTTTCAGCCACTATAACATACACAGACTATTATAGTTCTGGGTACTACCCGTAAGAGAGTTGATATTCTAAAAGCATGACATTTGCCTTATTTTACACCTGGGACTCTTGAGACACCTCAGATGTTCCATTGTTAAAGTTTCTATGGCAGTGGTTCTCAACCATGGGGCATGGATACTTACAGAAGAGCATTTCGGAAGGTGAGGGGTACCTGTGCTGTTTGCAGTGGCCTCTCAGGCCATCCTAACAGGCCTCCCAAAGAGTACCACTCCCCAAGGGAATTCCAAGTCTAAAGGAACTTAAAACTATATCCTATAAGTTGAGGGAATTCTAGTGTTTAGCCTGCAAAAGAAAAGAGCGTGGATTTCCGATGAAATAGACATGTTAGTGAGACTTCTCAGAATTAAGTAATATATGGATCCCTTATAAAGGAAGAAGAGTCAAGGCTGGTATTGCCTGAAATTAATTTTACCATAGTGTTAGCAAAATACATAAAACATAAAGCCGAGCATGCATTTGAAAAGCAAAAATAAAATATTAATTAAATACAAAAAGAGCTGATTAAAATGAATAACATTAATTTAATGTGTTGGCTGATCCTGCTTTGATGGAACTAAATAATGCCTACAGTATGAATACGGTACTGATGCTATCAAGCTGCTGTTTTTAAAGCTGGCATGCCACCATGTGCCATGAGATCACTTAATTTTGCCATCACTTCCTTCAATTCAATCTACTACTTAAATTGTAGGTTGGGATATAGTTAAACCCTTTAATTATATAGCATGAGGCGATGCAATCTGGCATTCATTCAGCTCAAATGCATCACTTCTGAATTAAGTCTGCTCTGTTCTCTTCTTTGCGCAAGTATAAGACATCGATTGATTCTTTTCTTGCAAACATCCCGTTGTTCTCTCCCAACTTGTGCATGGCAATGAGCAGCAATGCATAGTACCTCATGGCTGACTCAAAGGAGTCCCCATGTGATCTAGAATTGCCACTCATTCCCTCTGGCCATGTAAATGGGCAAGTGACTCCAGCAGGTGCAATTAAATCCCTTCCCTGGTATTATATACCTGACTACTGAAAGAACTCTTGTCCAGAGTCCTAGAAAAATCGGGTCACACATGTACTTGAAGGATGAATGTGGGGGGGTTTTATTGAGTGGTGGAGGTGGCTCTCAGTGGAATGGAAGGGTAGCTGAACAGGGGATGGAGTGGGAAGATGATCTTCCCCTGGAGTTTGGCCATCCAGCAGCCAATTCTCCAGCTGTTCCCAGCTGAATTCCAGATGTTCCTTCTTTTCTCTCCTTCTCTGCCATGCTGTTCTGTGATTTGTCTGTCTCCTCATCTCTGCATCTGCTTCTGGAGCCTGGAGTTCAGGGTTTATGTGGGTACAGATGGGGGCATGGTGGGACAAAAGGCAAATTTTTGATTGCAAAACAGGAATGCCCATTCTCACTTAGGGCCAGGGTATCCGGGCTTGAGGGTGGGGCCTTTGCCAGGGAACCATCCTCTTCTACCCAGTATTTCCCTGTCTCCTGTCCATATCACAGTTTTGAGCACAGCAGTGTTGCTCACTGAGTCAGCCCTCAAAGAAGCATCTTACTGGTGAGGAAACTGGTAAGGTAACAGTACCCAGGGAAGGGGATAGAGGGCAAATTGTGTTTCGTTTTTGGAGCCTACCAAGGAAGAAAGTCTTAAGCACCAGGGCCAGGGCTGAAATGATGGGAAGGGTGGCAGAGAGAACTGTAAACCAGGGGACACAGTGGGAAGCTGGCTAGAGATGCCAAACAGGGCACAAATGGGACAGCCAGAGCCAATGAGAGGGTGCAGAGTTGATTACTGGGTCAGAGCTGCATGTGCAGAAACAGCCAGGCCGGTGTCTGTTGGGGCCACGTGCAAATCAATTTGCAAGGGCTATTTCCCACATATTATTTCTGGAAGCATGTTTTGGGGCAGTACTACTGCGATGGAGAAAGGGCTCAGGTCAGGGTGATGCCATTTACTCCTGGATAATAAATTTGCATCTCAGAGTTTCGTGTACTTTGAGGGATGTGTAAACTACTTACTTGTTATGGGAATTACGTCTGTAGAAGATGGAAAAAAACTTTATGTAAGCCTTAATGAGTTTGGTTATATAGGAGGTTGATTTCTATCTCATAAATAATAAACAATTTCCTCAGTACGCCAATTCCAAAGTCTCTTTCAATTACTCATGTTAATCTTGCAAAGAAAATAATCAAGAAAAATATGGAAAATGCCATCTCCCTGTTAGAATGAAACGTCTCCTAGATGAGACAACATCTCTGCTCCAAGGTTTGGAAGCTTATTAGCTGTATCTCACTCATTGGTTCTTCTATGTAGACAATCTTTCCTTCAAAATATAATCAATGTTAAAATGAAACCTGGATTTAATTAAACAACACATGTCTGTTCTAATAAGATTTGTTGAATTTGAAGTGAAATAATGGGACCAAGATAGAAACGAAGGGAAAAAAACTCAAAAATTGTTTCCATCTCCAATAGTCACATATCTTTTTTTTTTTTTAGATGGAGTTTTGCTCTTGTTGCCCAGCTTGGAATGCAGTGGTGTGATCTCGGCTCACTGCAACCTCTGCCTCCCAGGTGCAAGCAGTTCTCCTGTCTCAGCCTCCCAAATAGCTGGTATTATAGGTGTCCACCACAATGCCTGGCTAATTTTTTTGTATTTTTAGTAGAGACAGAGTTTCATCATGTTGGCCAGCCTGGTCAGTCACATATGTTTATTGATATTTTTTATTGTGATAGCTTTTAAAAGAAAAACTATTAACGTTTCTAGGGAGTAGATTAACTTTTTCATGTCATGTAGAAGGCGATTTAGACAGATGAATAGGGAATCACTAGGTCCTACGTAACTTTGTTTCCCAAATATTTTACTAGATCTTCTTTACTTCGTCCCTGATGTTCCTGCCTGAGATAAAACCCAACTTCCATGCATTGCTCCCGTGATCTCACTCCCTTCCGCCTTCCCAGTCTAGGCCCCAGCCATTGGATTCATTGTGCCCATCCTGCACTGTGGGCACACTGAATCCTTGCAGTTCCTCAAACAGGATTTGCTCTCATATCCTGCACATCTTTGCATACACTGTTTCCTCCACCCCCTGAAATTTTCACCTACCTTCCCCTCCCTGTCTATCTCATAAGCACAGTTAGGAAGATGCTAATTTTGGAGCTGAATGGTCTCTGTTCAAATCTCTGCTTTGTTACTTCCTAGGTATATAAGCTTAGGCAAGTTCACTTTTTCTTTTCTTTTTTTTTTGAGATAGAGTCTCGCTCTGTAGCCCAGGCTGGAGTGCAGTGGTGAGATCCCAGCTCACTGCAACCTCCACCTCCCGGGTTCAAGTGATTCTCCTGCCTCAGCCTCCAGAGTAGCTGAGACTACAGGCACCATGACCATGCCTGGCTCATTTTTATATTTTTAGTAAAGACAGGGTTTCGTTATGTTGGCCAAGCTGGTCTTGAACTCCCAACCTCAGGTGATCCACCCACCTCGGCCTCCCAAAGTGCTGGGATTACAGGCATGAGCCACCATGTCCAGCCACGAGTTCATCTCTGTAAGCCTCATTTTCTTATCTGGAAACAAGGACAATAAGAGTATTTAATTTAATGAAGTTTCTGTGAGAGTTAAACGAGACAATGAATGTGATTGGCATTATACATAATATGTTCTAAATACTCAGTACTGTTTTAGCCATTATTATGGTTACAAGTATTATTACCATTTACTCATAACAATTCTACTTCTCATCTCCATGTGGCAATCCTGTTTGCTGGGGATGCAAGGTTACATTTCAGGGGGAAGATCAGTGCCACTGCCTAGTCCCTGTGGGTAGCTCAGGAAATCCTAGAGATGTGGAGATAATTTTGTTGATGAGATGGCAGCTGACAACATACTTTTCTGTCTTTCACTGCATTTCTCTATAAGACCAAGCCAGAACTTTGGTTCCCATGCTCTTTGGGAACACCAAAGAAGCAATGAATGCATGGCACTGAGTGGAATCTGTCTGGACTGAGAGTAAGGAACTTGGATCTCTAGCTTTAACGCTGTCATTAATCAGTTATCCTTGGACAAATGACATCACCTCCCTGGGCCCAGATCTCGATTTATTTAAAAAACAAAACAAAACAAAAGAGGACTACATTCTGCCATCTCTAAGTATCTTTCCAACTCTGGGATTCTGGGATTCTCACTCTGTATTTGCTGTTAGTAGGCTCATGAGGCACCATGTGTGTGCCAAGTCAGGACCCTGCTCCATCTGGTATATGGAGAGGCCAGGCAGTGCCACAGTATCCAATATCGTAACTACAAATAGGACTCGCCTAGAAATTCTGAGGCATATGGTTTCCCTGCCGTGTTTCTGAATCTTATTGCTATATTTTCTTTTGTTTTGCTTTTAATATTATTTATTATGTAAGATAGAAAGAGAATCTTTTTCAACGCACACAGTTACATAAATAAGATCTTTTAACATCATGCTAATGGGAGATCAATAGCATATTATCCCTTCAGAGAAGTTGCCAAAGTCTAACAAAGAAGGAGTATACAGGAGAGTGTCAATATCTTTGTTATTCAATTCAGCCTCTTTTACTTTTTTTCCACTTGGCAGCGCGTTCTCAGAAGGGGCAATACACACGTTTTATTGCCCCATTTAAGATTCAACAGGTCAAACAAATAACAACAACAGCCTATGCAAACATTTCCAACAAGCCATTAAAAACATTTCTTGAAGCTTTAAGTGTACAGAAGGTTTAGGAAACGTAAATTTGCTGTCTGAGATCCCTGATGTACGTCTTGGTTCTAACACAGATGAGCGAGAAGTCAAAAATAGAAACCACTTTGAAGAAACTCTGGGACCCTAAGTGCAAGTCCCCTTGTAAGATGACTTTATTAACACTCAAAATCCTCCAAGGTTCCTCCCCTACAGTCATGACAGATGCCTTTGAAAGTCTCCCCACAGAGGAAAGACTCCTGAAAATTTCTTCCTGCACTTTGCAGAGTTTACAAAAACTACAGGAGTAGCCTCCACTGCATTTGTCAAGCAAGAAATAATTGAAAACAGCAGGCAGTGGTGGTACCTTAGTCACTGAAAGAAGTCTGCCAATTGACGCATGGGGTGCTGCGGGTGGGAGCTCCCATTAGGGCTCCTGGGTGGTATTTAGGTACAGTAAATCCCCTGCATGTCTGGGTAACTGGATACCTAAATCTTAAGACTATTTTCATCCACTAAGAAGAGAATTGAAGTAGAATGGAATCTACTGAGAAAACTTGCTTTGTTTCTAAATATTTGTCGAATGGAACATTGTAAGTATGATTTTCAAAGGTCTCATGTAGCCATGTCCGTTGGGAAAAAAACCCTCTTTCTATCATAGGTTGTGAGATTAAAAACAAAACAAAATGTAGCAATAATATTCAGAAACACGGCAGGGAAGCCATATGTCTCAGAATTTCCAGGCCAGTCCTATTTCCAATTACGACATTATACTGTGGTCCCCAAAGTCTTATAATATTTAAGAAATTCTAATAGCATCTAGACCGTATAATTTAGACTGCCTCTTAGATACAAATATGATATACAAATCCTTGTTCAACCTGATCTGCAATTCAGAAAAATATAGTCACTACAATGGGAGACCCATAAAGTATCTTAACACTATAGCCAGTGTCAGATAGTCTCCTAAAGGTGTTGGACAGAAGAACTGAAGCTTGGCCTGGATGGATCTATTTAAAGACAGATGAGAGGCAAGAGGCGACTAAAGAAATTAAAACTTGATTCTTGGCAGAAAAGCTGAAAGTCTTTGTGATACTTAATCTACAGTAGAAAATATTAAGATATGTAACAATTTCCACAAGAAATATTATGGACAATGAAACCTGTACTGTATATTATTTACTTGATATTTGGTGAGAGTTGGCATACCACACCCAAATGGATTTGTGCAAATTCATTCACATACTCTTGAGCTGCATGCTTTGTGTGTCCAACTCTATGTAACTGCTCCCATGGTGAATGGAGAGGAGAGCACAAGCAAAGGCATGGAAGCTGGACACATCCTATGCCTTCTGAGAGCCTCCAGAGTGCTGGCTGGTATCGTTGGGGCATGGCAGGGATACAGGGCATACAGTAGAAGCTGAGGCTGGAAGGGCTGGCAAAGTTCAGATAATGTAGAGACCTGTGCTCTTTGTGACCATCTGTATACCATGACGTGGTGGCTGAGGGATAGATTCTCTGACTCTGGAGCAGATATAGATGTACTGGCTTACAGATGCTGCTCACTGCAGCTTTATAGATACATTCTATTGGTGGTGGGTCTCCGTTCACAGGTAGGTGTAGAAAAAGGAATTATGAAATTGACCACCACAAAAAAAATTAGGGTAAGTGTTAGCAAGACATTCTTGGCTAGAGCAATGGCAAAATGCAGTTTTAAATAAGATGGTGATTTGTTTTTTTATGGAGTACAATTGTCCATCAAGCAGGAGGATGGAGAAAACAATTTTGTGGATGACTTTCTAACCCTGTGATGTCATGCTATTTTGAAGCAGAATAATTACAACGGAGAACAAAGTTCGCTTAACAAACAGTTATGGCATCATTGCCTCTTTTTCCGTGGCTTCTTTTGTAGAGAAAATTCAGCCAGAATCAAACCCAAGAGGAAAGGATTCTGGAAGATATATGGGTCCAAGCACTGATGGAGTTGAAGAACTGATAACATATTACGGGCTTGTAGACTAGAGGGTTTTGTTTGTTTGTTTTGAAATGGAGTTTCCCTCTCTTGCCCAGGCTGGAGCGCAGTGGTGCCTTCTTGGCTCACTGCAACCTCTGTCTCTCGGGTTCAAGTAATTCTCCTGCATCAGCTGCCTGAGTAGCTGGGATTACAGGCGCATGCCATCACACTCAACTAATTTTTGTATTTTCAGTAGAGATGGAATTTCGCCATGTTGGCCCAGCTGATCTCGAACTCCTGGCCTTAGGAGATCTGCCCGCCTCTGCCTCTCAAAAAGTGCTGGGATTACAGGTATGAGCCACCGCACCCGGCCTAGACTAGAGTTATTTAAGGAACACACAGGTGCTCCTATGAACCTAGTCCAATAGGAAGATCGTGTCTTTTTCTGGCTGTGGACCAATGTTGTCAATATGGTGCTAGAAACGCTTATGGGAGCACATATCAGTCAACTCCTCATGTTAAACAACGCTTTAGGCCAAGGTCGCTAACCTTCTCAAATGGGGTACACATTTTCCTAAAAATTGAATATTCAACCACTTAACTATAATTTCTGAATTTTTTCTTAAAACTAGCTTTCTTCCTTCAGATTTTAGAATAGCTCTCTCCAACATCTCGTTTGTCCCAAAGCCTGTTGCATAATTCTAATGGCTTATGACTTTCGGTAGCCTTCCAGGACTTATGACTCAGAGGTGTGCCTGGGGACGGTGGTGCAGAGTTCTTACTTCTTGTGGGCCAGCAGCAAGTGCTCCCAACAGATCTACCTTGACAAAGAAGCAGATGCCAAGACGTTGCCCCACTTGCCTCTCGGGCTGCATCTGATCACTCAGTGCCATCTGGACATTGCTGTGGAGGGAATGCTCTTGGTAACAGTTATTGCTGTCTGGTTATGCATTGGCACTTTACAACAGTATAGCTGAGTAAAGAACAAGCCATCTCAAAAAACGCGTTTCATTTCACTAAACCTCCTTACAATACGCGTACGAAAACTTTTTAGAGGCTTTTTGGAAGGAAGGATAGATTCGAACTTCATTACATGTGTCAGGAAAAAGCAAGTGATGCCTATATTGCAGAAAATGAGCTATGATCATTGTTTCTGCCATTTATGACCTGTGTTACTGATAGAAGAAATGAAAACCCTCTGGACCCAATAAGATGTCGGGTCCTTCCTTTCTATTCTCTTGCTCCTCCACCCGGATCCTCTGACATCTTGCCCAAGTTGACAAATACAAATTGGACTGGCCTTCCAGAACCCTGAAACTGGCTACCTCTTTCTGAACTCTCCCAGTTAGAAGTCACTACTCCTTCTCTTGAACTCCAGGATCTCTCTGTCTGAACTTTCTATCCTGCTTTAGAATTGGCATTTGTAACTCCTCTTGTAGGTAATTTGCTCCTTGACACTGTGGTCTGGACTGTGTTTGATTCATTTTTGTACTTTCTTAGTTACCAAGTACTCAGTGAAATACTGGTGAAACAATTTCCCAGGACTGTGACATTCTATTTGTGGGTATCCTTTAAGTAAACTGTTGGAGAAAAGCAAAAAGGAAAATAAATGATCTCACATGAACAGCTTCCTCACCTGCCAAGAAGCCGTTTTGTTTTCTCTTGTTAGAATACTTTATCTAAGTTTAAGAGCAAGGATATTTTTTTGAGGGGGGCAAATTATACGCATGGCTGAGGCAGCAACAGCTCAAATAGATGCTGGCTTCCTGCTGAGGGCCAGAGGGAAAAACACAGAGAGCAAACCTGGAGGAATCACCCAGCTGGGTGCCCAGACGCAGCCACCTGCCTCCTGCCTTATGTCGAGGTGATGTGTCACCGCACCGAAGAGGGCTGATTTGGGTCACATCATATTGCAGGCCCCAGATTACAAACTCTAACCAGAAGAGCATGACATTTAAAAATATCAGTAGCACATCACGTAAATGATTCAACCTCCCAAACATGGAATGTTTTTCTCCACATCTATTTGAACACAGTCTCTATCTTCAGACCACTTCACATTAAGCAGTAAATGGAAAACTTGTCACAGGCAAGAAAACAGAACAAAACTTCACAAAGAGAAAGGGAGAGGGAGAAAAAGATAATTTAAAAAGGAACTTTAAAAGGATGGCTGGAGCTGATACCCGCTTCCACCATAGATTCACTCCTCTGACCCCATCAGTCCTCACTTCTGGTTTGTTTTCCAAAGCTGTGCTTCATGAGAACAAGATTCCTTTTTTATTTTATTATAGGCATGAGCCATTGTGCCCCGCCGAGATTCGTTTTTACTGTAACATAATTTGTGTTGTGAATTTGACCATTTCCCATGTTCAGAATATAGTTTCCCCATCTAGGAAGTGGGATAGTAAAAAATTCCTTTTATTAATGTCACAGACGTGACTCTAGCTCAGTGCAAAAGGGACGTTAACTCTTCCAGGCCTCAGGGTACCAACAAGTGAAAGAGTACTTGAGGACATCCTGACAGCCTGATAGTTTTCCAAAATAGGAACTGCAATCTCCGGAAAACCCTTCTCACTCCATTTTAGTTGAGAGAAACATTTTTATGGAAAGATCAATTTCAGCTTGAGATCCAGAAGAGCGCTCCCCATGACTACAGAAGGCAGTTCTCCAGTATTCATAGGGCCCTTAACTTAATGTGCTACTTGGGTAACAAATGACGCACTATGGCTGAGGTCACAATCTCCTGTTTCCATTAGTTAATTTACTAGAGGTTCACAGTAAAGTCATTAGTTAATTGGTGCTCATTAAGTGACCTAAAAGAGTAGGCGCTGCTTCTGCAAAGGTCAATTGAACTCTCAGAGTGTAAATTGCACACAGGATAAAATCTGAGGCAAACTGCTATCCCCAGTCTTGGAGAAATGGCAAATGCTGTGGACTTGATATTTTCTGCCTCAGCAGGCTTTAACGTACGACAGGTGTTCCTGGCACTCAGGAATTCACTAGTGATGTTGTTTAAGCTATTTGAAAGCAAAATGTTTCTTCTCTGAGTCGGCCTATTGGATGGTGCTCAGGCTGGATGGTGCTAAGGCAGATTGAACACCCATGTGCAATGTGTTATTGCTGCAACAATTACAACAACCCATTCGTCTGTAAAAGTGCTTTCTGTTGTTATTAGGTCATTAACCTTAACTGTATCAAGGTGTTCCCACTTAGTTAACTGTACTAACAGGACCCAATGTCTCACTGTGGAAGAAAATGCTCACAGTTCACGCCTTGTTGGCGCCTAAGAAAAGCTCCAATCCTAATAATCTAGTCCCAGTGCTTAGCACTACCCAAGGTACTATAAAGAGGGTGGAGGGAAGACTGTAAAACCCACAATCAATAAAACAGAAATTGAACAAGAAACTACAAACACAGATCTTGCCAGAATAGGCCCCAAAGTTCAATTGCTTTGTTTGAAGAATTAAAAAGCAAAAAGAAACCTAAAAATAAAACCAGATAAAACCACTAAATAGCGACCTCAAACACAATCTTATTCCATTCCAGTGCCCAATTGGCAATTATCCCCAGATTACTTTTTTGAAACTTTAACCAAGATCAATGACTCTAAGCCAAGCTTTTTAACAAAGGTGCTTTTCACCTGGTTTTGTTTGACATTGTTGCAAAACAAACAATAATGGTATTTGGCAAATTGGCAACATAACACAGCCAGAGATGTGGGAAGAAGCATAGCCAGATATGAGGGGAGTAACATAGTCAGATAAAAGGAAAGTAACATAGAGATGGAAAGTAACATAGCAAGATATGGAGAGAGTAACATAGCCACATATGGGGGAGTACCATAGCAAGATATGAGGGGAGTGACACAGAGATAGGGAGAGTAAAATACTCACATATAAAGAAGTAACATAGCCATATAAAAGTAGCAAAACATAGCCAGATATGGAAAGAGTAACATAGCCACTTACGGGGGAGTAACATAGCCAGAGAGGGAGAGAGTAACATAGCTACATGTGGAGGAGGAACATAGCCAGAATGGAGGATAACAATGTCAGATACAGGGAGAGTAACATAATCACATATGGGGGAACAACATAGCCAGATACAGGTAAAGTAATATAGCTAGAGATGGAGAGTAACATAGACAGCTATGAGGGTAGTAACTTGGCCAAGTATACAGGGATTAACATAGCCAGAGATTGGGAGTAACATAGCCACATATGGGGGAGTTACATAGCTAGATATGAGGCAAGTAATGTAGCTAGAGATGGGAATAATATAGCCAGATATAGGTGGGGACATATAGCCAGACATGGAGGGAGTAACATAGCCAGATATGGGGGGAGTAACATAGCCAGAGATGGGGAGTAACATAGTCAGATATGGGGAGAGTAACACAATCAAATATGGGAAGTAACATAGCCAGGTATAGGGAAAGTAATATAGAAAAGTATAGAGGGAGTAACATAGCCAAGTATAGAGGGAGTAGCCAGAGATTGGGAGAGTAATCTAGCTAGATATGAGGGGAGTAACATATCTACAGACGGGAAATAATACAGCCAGATATAGGTGGAAAAACATAGTCAGATAGGGGGAGAGTAATACAGCCAGATACAGGCAGAGTAACAGTCAGATAAGGGGGGAGTAACATAGACAGATATGGAGGAAGTAACATAGCCACATAATGGGGAAGTAAAATAGCCAGATATTGGGATACTAACATAGCCACGTGGGGGAGTAACATAGCCAGAGTTGGGGAGCAACTTAGCCAGATATGTGGAGAATGCCATTGCTTCATGTGGGGAAGTAACATAGCCAGATATAGAAAAGTAACATAAACACATATGGGGGAATAACACAGCCAGATATGAGGGGAGTAACATAGCCACATTTGGGGAGTATCATGGCCAGAAATCAGGGGGGTAACATAGCCAGACATGGGGAGAGTAACATAGCCAGATATGCCCGTTCTTCTATTCATTCCTTCCAGTAAGTGCTGTGTGTTTGTAATTCCATAATCCTAAGAACTCTTACTTGTCCTGTTTCTTTCCCATAAACGCCTATTCTTGTTTTAGGAGGCACCGTCATCTTGAATCCTCCGGAGGATATTAAATGGAAAGCTTGCAGTCCGTGTCTCTATTGTGGATTTTCTGTTTTCTCCAGGGTCAATGTTCTGTCTCTTCCTCTTACTTCCTTTTTAATTTAAGGATGTCCTTCCTTAAGCATGTCTATTTATGCCTAAGGATGAAGAACTGGATGAATTAATACCACATAGGTGGCCAGTGTGGGTTTCCTCCTCAGTTGAGGAGGGAGTCACTGGTAGCGGAGCCCTGCATTCTGCAGGCAAGTCTTTAATTACCCTGATCATTGCCAGAGGGCCTCCTTCTGCTCTCTGTAATTGTTGATACTGAGCTTGGAGTTTCTCTACAACTGCTCTTGTCTTCCTAGTAAGTGATCTTCTGTGCACATGTTGGGTTGTGGTTTTCTCAATTTTTGTCAGTTTAATCCCATCTGCTTTCTATCTTCCAAAAATTCATTTTAATTTCAGGACCTCTCAATGTCACCTCTATTCTTCCTGTGCTGTCATGAATGTATTCTTTATTTTTTTTTGGAGACAGAGTCTCACTCTGTCACCCAGGCTGCAGTGCCATGACATGATCTCAGCTCACTGCAACCTCTGCCTCCCGGGTTCAAGCAATTCTCCTGCCTCAGCCTCCTGAGTAGCTGGGATTACAGGTGTGCACCATCACGCCTGGCTAATTTTTGTATTTTTAGTAGAGACAGGGTTTCACCATGTTGGTTAGGCTGATTTCGAACTCCAGACCTCGTGATCTGCCCACCTCAGCCTCCCAAAGTGCTGGGATTCCAGGCATGAACCACCATGCCCGGCTGAACGTAGTCTTAAAAGACATCCTTTTCCTGTCACTGGAAAGAACTCAGAGCGAAGAGGGAAATACAGGTGGCACACCTGTGTGCTCAGTCCACCACTCTGACCTACCTATTTAGCGTTTTAGATGAGAAACATTATCTGTAGCAATCTCCTATTTGTTTTAGGAAAGAAGTTCTTTCCCACTAACCAATTTTCTAACTAAAGCTCATCTATTCAAAAATAAAACTTTAAACAACTGAACCATTATGATGTAAACAGCATTTAAAATATATTATTCACTTTTCTGGTTTCTGAAATAGAGGATACTCAACATAATTAACCACATATTTACACAGGATCATTGTCACAATATGTTCCCTTTCTGGGTGGGAACGAAGTGAACTTGGTCCCTCAGTTTACCTGGGCACATCAAGCAGCTCCCGTGCTCTTTGCTTCTGACTTCTAATGCTCCCCTGTGTTCTCGCTGTACTTCCTACTTCTAATTTTCCGTGGAACAGGAAACCGCATGGCTAGGCATATTACAAAAATATATACAGTAGATAATTGCCATTAAGACTAGGGGCTGAAAGAAGAAGAATGTGGCTTCGTGAAGTGTCTTTCTATAAACAATTTTATAGAAAGGCATGTGGAAGATTTTTGCATGCTTCTAGATGCTGAGGTTTTATTCAAGTAGATGAGTGTTTACTAGGAAACTGACTCTGACCAAGAGGGATGTTTCTGTACTAATGCTTTGTAATTAAGTAAAAAAAGTATATATATATACCATATATACACACATTATATATAAACTATTATACGTAAATAATTATATACACATATAATACATATTATATATATACATACAAACTGTTACATGTATATATATATATATATTTATAGACACACATAGATACTTTCCATCACATAGTCATTCATGTGTGGCTTAATGATGGAAGATGTGTCATCATGCATTTCCATCTTTGTGTGAACATCGGAATGTACTTACACAAACCTTCATGGTCTAGCCTACTACACACCTAGGCTACAAGGCACCCCCTATTGCTCTGGGCTACAAATCTGTATGGCATGTTACTGTAAGCAATGGTAACACAATGGTAAGTGTTTGTATATCTAAACATTTATAAACGTAGAAAAGGTACAGTAATAATACAGCATTAAAGACTAAAAATGATATTTCTTTGGAGGGCATTTACCATGAATGGAGGTTACATGACTGGACGTTTGCTCTGGGTGAGTCAGTGAGTGGCTAGTGAGTGAGTGTGAAGGTCTAGGATTCTATACTTACTATAACTGTGGTAGACTTTAAAAACACTGCACCCTTAGGCTGCATTAATTTATTTAAAGATTTTCTTTTCAATAATGAATTAACCTTAGCTTACTGTAACTTTTACTTTATAAACTTTTCATTTTTTTAACTTTGACTCTTTTCTAAAAAGACTTAGCTTAAAACACAAACACATTGCACAGCTCTTCAAAAATATTTTTTTCTTTTATCGTTATTCTATAAGCTTTTTTCTAAGTTAAACTTTTAAAAAAAAACTTGAAACTTTTTAGTTAAAAGCTGAGTCATGAACACACACATTAGCCAGGCCTACTCAGGGTCGGGATCATCACGGTCACTGTCTTCCACCTCCACACCTTGTCCCACTGGAAGTTCTTCAGGGACAACAACAGCATGGAGCTGTCATCTCCTGTGATAACAATGCTTCTTCTGGAAACCTCCTGAAGGACCTGCCTGAGGCTTTTACCATTGACAGTTAAGTTACAGTTAACGGTTAACAGTTAATAATTAAGTAATGTTTACAGTTAACTTTTCATAAGTAGAAGTACACCCTAAAATAAAAATGAAAAGTATAGCATAGTAAATATATAAACCAATGACATAGTTGTTTACTGTCATTATCAAGTATTATGTACAATAAATAATGATATGGGCTAGTTTTTTTTATGATGGCAGCACGGTAGGGTTGTTTACACCAGCATCACCACAAACACATGAGTAACATGTTGTGCTACAACATAAGACAGCTATGACATCTCTAGGTAATAGGAATTTTTCAGCTCCATTATAATCCCACAAGACCACCATTGTATATGTGACCCACTGTTGATCGGAATATCATTATGCACAACTGTACTCCAAAAGCCATGTAATATTCTCATATGTACTCTCACACACATATACTTTCTCAAACAAAAAATAGTTTTTCTCTTGCTGAAGTAAGCACCTACAGAAGTTTTTTTAAAAAAGTATTTTCTGCATATGAGTATAAATCTCAATATAAATCCCTACTTATTCATAAAATGTGAATGAGCGATGGCACATTAAACAGTTAAAAGCTAATGTCAATAAAAAATGTTGAAGCTGCTTCTAATGGTGTTTCTATTTCTTTCTGCAAATTAACTTCTTTCAACAGGATCTGCAGAAGAATAGTTCATAATGACCATAGCAGATTGCATGTGCACGTCTGTTCTCATTCCAACCAAGACACTTCACAGAGACCCCAGACAAGTGGAGGTCATGCCCAGCGAGGTTCCAGTTCAGGATATGTTTCCTGCCTCTAATTGCTCTCTCTGAATCCTTCCTGTTTTCCAGGACCAGAATCATGTTAATATGAGAGCATTTTAATAAGCATTCATCCCCTTCTAACCCACTCAAGTAGGCAGTGTGGTAAAATGGAAAAAAGCACTGCTTATGAACCAAATAGACCTTGCTTTGGATTCCAAGCCATCACATGTGAATTTCATGTACTTCAAGTTACTTAACTTCTGTCTCAACCTATTTCCTCAAGCACAAATTTAGGACGATAATGCTCACTGGGATATACTCCACTCTGTAATATCTTATCTAAAGAGTATAGGGCAGTTTTTTTGGTCTGACATTCAAGGTCTATGCAATCTAGCACCAATATATCTACCACTACTACTGACATAAACTCACTACTGCCAAGCTACCCTTTGCATAACTTTTATATCTACATCTATGTCCATCTGTCTCAGTTTGTGTGGTGGGCAAAATAATCTCCCCTCCCCCACCCCACCACAGCCCCCCAGAGAGCAGGTCTAATCCCAGGACCTGTAAATGTTACTTTATTTGAATAAAAAGGTCTTTGCAAATATGATTAAGTTAAGGAATTTAAGATAAGGAGATCATCCTGTATTATCACAGTGGGCCCTACATGTCCTCACAAGTTTCCTCATAAGGTAGAGGGAGATTGAGCACTCAGACACAGAGAAAAGAACCAAGTGATGAAGGCAAAGACTGGAATGACGCAGCCGCAAGCCAAGGAATGCCGGCAGCCAGCACTCTCGTCACTCCATTACTGGCTACAGTGCTAATTTAGCACTAATGGTCCATCTTCTTAAGAGATGGTGCCTTACCTGGGGCTTGCTGCAGGTCTCTCATTTTCAGCACTCACAGCATCCAGGCAGATCTGGTGAATTGGAGCCATGCTGTGGGCCCACATACCTATTGCATCCATCTTTCCCACTGTGACTACCACACTAGCTGGAAAAGGCAAGGAACGGAATCTCCCTAGGGCCTCTGGAGGGCGCGTGGCTCTGCCAACATCTTGACTTCAGCCCAGACTGATTGTGGACTCTCCAAAACTGTGAAATAATCTATTTCTATTGTTTCAAACCACCCAGGTTGTGTAATTTACTACAGTAGCCACAGGACACAAATAAAATTTGGGTTTTCCTAGAAGCTGATTCCAAGACAAGGGTTTGAGTACAAATTTTGTTTGGGAGGTGGCACCAAGAGTCACTGTGAGGGCATGGGGAAGCAAGGGTGAGAAAAAAGGAAAGTGAGCAAAGGAGGCATTAGAGACCGTTGTGCTGCGGGCTAGTGGGCAATCCTGTAAGAGACTGTGGACCATGCTTCCGAATCCCCCCACTGAGCAGTGAGACAATTGGGATATTGATCCCTAGTTCCCAAGTCTCCCTGGTTGAGGGTCATTCCTAGAGACGTGAATTCTCTGTCACTGCACACCTGCCCTGTATGCAAGTGGAGCACATTCTGCAACCAGAATATGTTCTCAGGCAGAGAGAGGCAGCAAACCATCAGACAGGAAAAGACATGGTGAGGGCCCTGGACTCTGTTGGAGTCCACTGTGCAGCCTTTCGATCCATATGTGCCCTAGAATAGTTCCATTCTATTCTGTCACTGATCCTTCATATTGGTGGCCACTTGCAAGCCCAAGAAGACTTATAACAGGGAGGTGAGTGGGATGGGCCAATATCCTGATGCTGCAGTTGGATCTGAGGCCATAATTAATACTCGTCGACTCCCTCTTCCACCACCTGTGTTTGATTCTTCTTCCTTTGTCTGACTTTTTTGCTGGTCTTAGTTGGCGTATCAGGTCAGAACCAGACTCTGATCCCTGAAGGATCTGAGCTTCTGGAGACTTTGCCCTGTTGTCAGGCCTGGTTGCTACAATTGTTCTTTCATTGTCATCAGCAGACATGGAAACAATCGGAAGTACCCCAGAGAATCTAGCTCTTGAGTTCCAAGTACAGTAATTCCTGTGCCTCTATGCATCAGCCTCTCTGGATTTTCATAACCAACATCAGCTAGTCATGCCAGCAGAGTAAATGCTTTCTTTGCTGCTGGTCTGTCAGCATGGCGGCTCAAATTAACCAGGCTACATTGTATATTTAGGTTCAGTGGAACCTGGTGGAAACGTTCCATCCATAAAGGCCTCATCTTCCACTACAATAGACCTTAAAATTTTGGAAACTGATGCACAAAAACTCCAAGTAAGTTCTGGAAGTGAAGATATGAAATTACTTCTACTCCTCGATTGTATATTGTCGCTACTGGGGACATGGCACCCTGTAACTGCTCTTGGTTCAGCGTATACCACATCTCACCCCAACCACACCACTGGAATGGCACACAACTGGCATCTTTGCTGAGCCTCTCAGGGGCCATTCCAATATTCCGTCAGGCTGACGGCTTCTAGGGATAAAATGGTTTTTGACAGGACCAGTGGATCTCATGGCAACATGCCCATTATCAAACCTCATTCCATGTAAAGTAGATCCCATGGTTCATGATGATTTAGTGTGAGATGCTATGTTGGGAAATGACTCTCTGTGTCCTCAGTTAATGATACTGAGTGAAGCAGTGAAGGCAGGGATGGCGGCCCCATACTCAGAATATGTATCAAAATAAAGACAAATTACTGCTCACTTCAGGGTGGAAGGTGTCTCATGGAATTAATTTAGCACTAATGGTTTGTCTCCTTAAGAGATGTTGCCATACCTAGGGCTTGCTGCAGGCCTCTCATTTTTGGCACTGATAGCATCTAGGCAGATCTGGTCAATTGGAGCCCATGCTGTTGGCTCATGTGTCTGTCACATCCATCTTTGCCACTGTGACTACCATGCTCAGGGACCCATTGTGCAAGTCCTTGGGTGACCAAAGAGAGCTGGATGGAGCAAAAACCATATCTGCTATGCTGACTTTTCTTCCTTTTGTCCAGTTTCCAAAGAGGAAGAGCCCTCACTTTTGGTTTCGTTTTCACTTTTCAGATTAAATTGTCAACACATAGCCCTATCTTCATGACCTTTTGTCTTCTCAAGAATCTCCATCTAACTTACATTTTATTTCTTTCTCATTCTCTTTTTCTTTTCTTTTTTGGAGACAAAGTCTTGCTCTGTCACTCAGGCTGGGGCGCAGTGTTGCAATCTGGGCTCACTGTAACCTCCACCTCCCAGGTTCAAGTGATTTTCCTGCCTCAGCCACCCAGGTAGGTGGGATTACAGGCACTTGCCACCATGCCTGGCTAATTTTTGTATTTTTAGTAGAGACAGCATTTCACCATGTTGACTAGGCTAGTTTTGAACTCCTAACCCTATAATCCACCCACTTCGGCCTCCCAAAGTGCTGGGATTACAGAAGTGAGCTACCGTGCCTGGCTCTAACTTATATTTTCAACTGCCCACTTTAAAGCTTCCCCCTTGCTTTATGAACACGCTCAAATCACTCCCATTCCTCCTCAGACATAGTTCCCTTCGCTAATTAACATCCATTGCTTTCATCAATTTATTCATCAAGGGTTTTTCAAACAAGTATCATATGTCAGCCATCTTCTAACTGTTGTGGATATAGTGAATAATAAAACAGATATTGTTTTGATTCTCATGTAGGTTATATTTTAGCAAGAGGATCGGGAGGTGTCATATAAGTAAGCAAATAGAAGATAATCAAAACCAGTGCTTAGTATTCTGAAAGAGGTCAGCAGATAGTGTGGTTAGTAAACTTTTCCAGCACAGTGAAATTTGAGCTGAAATCTGAAGAATTAGAAGACGCCAGTTATACGAAAAGACAAGGAAGAACTTGGCTGACATGGGGAAAAATCAAGTGCAGATGTTCTGAAGTGAGAAGAGTCCTGAAATGTGCCAGGCACTGAAAAGGTACCACATTGAGCGTGTATTCATTGAGCAACTATTTCCAGAGTGCCTCCAGGAACCAGGCTGGAGATATGCCTGTGAATACAGCGCAGCACCTTCCTTCAAGGAAGAGGAAATGCTAGTAGGAGAGGCAGATGGGGGAGGAGTCAATTCCAACATAGATATTGCTCTACTAGGAGGCTGCGAGGCTTCACAGGAAGGGCCGCATAGGCTTAGCAGGGTCGCAGAGAAGACAGCATCTGTGCTGAGCTCAGAAGGACAAGAGACATTATGAGGACAATGGGGAAGAGTTTGGACAGGGAAAATAATTTATAAGAAAGCAAGAGTCACAAAAGAGTGTGAATATTTGGGGTCACTGCAAATAGTTGAATGTGACTGAAATATGGAGTACAGGGGTAAGGAAAGATGTTAATAAAATGCTGGGCAGTTACAAAGCAGCCCCATGATGAGGGCCTCAAATGTCATGTTAAGGCGTTTGGACATCAGACACAGGGTGATGGGAGCACTGAAAGGCTGAAAGCAGGGGAGTATGTGAGTGGACTTGTGTTTTAATAGGGTCACATTAATGCAGAGAACTGACTGGAAAGGGGCAAACCTGAAAGCAAGATGTCCACGGGGTGGGCAGGTGCAGTGATCCAGTGCACCTGGACGACGAGGCCCCATGTGTTAGTCTGTTTTCATGCTGCTGATAAAGACACACCAGAGACAGGAAAGAAAAATAGGTTTAGTGGACTCACAGTTCCATGTGGCTGGGGAGGCCTCACAGTCCTGGCGGAAGCTGAAAGGCACTTCTTACATGGCCACAGCAAGAGAGAATGAGCTTGTATAGGGAAATTCCCGTTTTTAAAACCATCAGATCTCATGAGACTTATTCACTATCACGAGAACAGCATGGGAAAAATGTATCCCCATGATTCAATTACTTCCCACCAGGTTCCTCCTACAACACATGGGAATCATAGGAGTTGCAATTCAAGATGAGATTTGGGTGGGGATACAGCCAAACCCTATCATCCCAGAAGAGTGGAAATCAGTCATCAGATTCCACAGTTGCTGTGGAAGCAGAATCTACAGAACACAGCAACTCTACAATGAACAGGGCTTTGAAGTGAAAAGGGAGTAGGTGGTGAGGATGTGTGTGACTTTAGGGTTTCTGGCTTAAGAAGCTGAATCTCTGTAGTGCCATTTATACAGATTGAATGAAGGAAGAAGCAGTTTCATGGGAAAGTAGTAAATTTGGGCCGGGCGCGGTGGCTCAAGCCTGTAATCCCAGCACTTTGGGAGGCCGAGGCGGGTGGATCACGAGGTCAAGAGATCGAGACCATCCTGGTCAACATGGTGAAACCCCGTCTCTACTAAAAATACAAAAAAATTACCTGGGCATGGTGGCGCGTGCCTGTAATCCCAGCTACTCAGGAGGCTGAGGCAGGAGAATTGCCTGAACCCAGGAGGCGGGGGTTGCGGTGAGCCGAGATCGTGCCATTGCACTCCAGCCTGGGTAGCAAGAGTGAAACTCTGTCTCAAAAAAAAAAAAAAAAAAAAGAAAAAGAAAGTAGTAAATTTGGTTGAGTAACAAGAGCTTGGGGATCCAGAAGAGAGCTGGGTTTGCAGCTCAGGAGTCCAGGAGAGAGCTAGACTGAAAACATAAGCCCAGGGATAGTCATTGAAGCCATAGGAATGAAGAACACCTATAGGAAACACAGATAGAAGCGGATGTTATACCCATGAAGTGTGGTCTATGCAATTAATTGCTAAAAAGAGCTCAGGTAAGATAAGGACTGAAATATAGCCATTGGGATTAGTAACAGCAATGCCTTTGGTGACATTAGAAGTACAAACTTAAAAGTGGCCCAGTAGGCCAGGAGTGGTGGCTCACATCTGTAATCCCAGCACTTTGGAAGGCTGAGGTGGGCAGATCATGAGGTCAGGAGCTCAAGACCAGCCTGGTCAATATGGTGACACCCCATCTCTACTAAACATACAAAAATTAGCCGGGCGTGGTGGCATGCACCTGTAGTCCCAGCTACTCAGGAGGCTGAGGCAGAAGAATCACTTGAACCTGGGAGGCAGAGGGAGGCTGCAGTGAGCCGAGATCACACCATTGTACTCCAGCCTGGAAAGAGAGCAAGACTCCATCTCAAAAAAAGAAAAAAAAAAAGGCCCAGTAGGTGCAGAATGCTTTATAGGATGCGGGAAGTAGCCCCAGGCAATGAAGATAGAGTGCAGACAATGCGCAGCAAGCATGATTATGAAGGAAAGGGGAGAGATAATGAGGCTGTCTAGTGAGGAAAGTGGAGTGATTGAAAAAAATTCTTTTTAAAGACAGATGTGTCTGGAACATATTTAAATACTGATAAAAATAGACTAGAACATTGAAAGAAATCGAATACGGCTATTTCAAATTTGGGACTACAAGAGCTATAAGGGAAGATGTTGGCCAGATTGAATTTTTTCACTTTAGAAAAAGTCAGTCTGATGATAATAGGTGGGATTTACTGTACCTACTATGTGCCGAGCACTGTACTGGGCATAGTGTATCTCCTGTGATTTTATGTTTAAACAATGTTAGGAGGGAGGCATTGCTATCATTATTTTACAGATGAGAAAATGAAGATGTTATGTGTCTTTCTCAGCCAATAAGTAGTCAATTTTCAGTTCAAATTCCAACCTTTCTCCAAATGCATATTCCTTACACAGCCCCACGTCTCAGCATATATTTGCTATTTGGTAGTAGAATCCTGGGTGAATGAACATCGGAAAGCATGTTTTGATTGGTCTGGGAAATGAGGAGAGAATGCAAAGATCTGAAAGAAGCCTCTGTCAGGAATAAATCTGGGTAAAGGATGCTACGAAAGCTGGACCCAGGACAGGAGGATGTGAAGGACAAAGGGAGACAGGCAGGAGAATATGATGCTAGCAGAGGTCCCGAAGCATTGTGTAGGGGAATAAAGTCCAGTGAAGTAGGGAGGAGTAGAAAAGAAGAACCCACATCCTAGGCCAGCGTACAAGCACTCGTGAGTGGAGAGATCTGATTTTACCCAGCTGGATAAAGGAAATGCCACTGATAGGCTGATGACAATCACCTTTCTCTACTGTACTCCCTATGTGCGCATCCAACCACTTATTTGAAACTTCTACTCTTGATTTCTCCCTGAACCTGTTCTTCCCCAATCCTCTCCATTTCAGTAAGTAATTCTACCTCCTATCCAGTTGTTCAAGCCTAGAAATCATTCTTGACTCCTCATTTCTACTTATTCCATGTAATCATTATCTGTTGCTGTGTAGCAATATTACTAGAAACTTGGTGGCTTGAAGGATACTTCTGATATCAGTTTCTGTGGGCAGGAACACAGGCACAGCTTCCTCTGCTTCAGGGTCTCTCACAAGGCTACAATCAAGGTGTTGTCCAGACTGCAGTCTCATCTGAGGCTCAAGTGGGGAATTATCTAATTCTTCACGGTTGTTGGCAGGATTCAGCTCTTTGTGGGTTACTGGACTGAAGGCCTGAGGTCCAGCCAGACATCATTCGTTGCCATAATGGCCTCTCCATATGGCAACTTGCTTCATCAATGCCAGCACGGGGGAGAGCTAGTAAAGAGTCTGCTATCAAAATAGATGCTTGGTTCTTATGTACTGCATTCATGGAAGTGCCATGCGATCACTGTTTCTATATTCTGTTGGTTAGAAACAAGTCACAGGCTCACCCCATATTCAAAAACAGGAAGCTTCACAAGGGCATGAATATCAGGAGATAAGGATAAACAGAAGTCATCTTAATATCTGTCCACCACACCCCATCACCCAGTTCATTGCTAACTGTAGTGAATGCTACTCCCAAAATGCCCCTTGCACTTGTCCACACTCCTCCATTGCCAGTGCCACCATCACCAATACAGGGACCATCTCTCACTGGACAATTCTTTGGTCTCTTTGGTTTCATTCTTTCCTCTCTGAAGTCTATTCTACACATATAGATTACATAATTTCTCTTACATACTTTAAAAATCCTCCAAAAAGTTCCCACTGATGTCCAAATAAAGTTGAAACTGCAACAGGACCCTACATTTCCTGGCCTGCTGACCTCTGACTTAATCTGATTTCATATCCCACAACTCAGCGTACTCAGACGTGCAGGCTGCTTATGGTTCTCCAACTCCTTGAGTTCATTCCCACTTTCCAGAATGTATGCTTCATGTTTTCTCTGCCTGAAATGTTCTTCCCCAAGGTCTTTTGCAAAGCTGTCCCTCCCTTGTCATTCAGTCCCAGCCCAAGTGACATGTCCTTGGAGATGCTTTCCCTGCTGGATTAGTCCATTTTCACACTGCTATAAAGAATACTGCACAAGACCAGGAAATTTATAAAGGAAAGAGGTTTAATTGACTCAAAGTCCCACATGGCTGGGGAGGCCTCAAGAAACTTACAGTCACTGCAGAAGGAGAAGCAGGCATGTCTTACATGGTGGCAAGCAAGAGGAGAGTCAGCAAAGGAGGAAATGGCCAAACACTTATAAAACTATCAGATCCTGTGAGAACTCTCACTATCATGAGAATGGCATGGGAGAAACTGCTCCTATGATCCAATCACCTCCTATCACGATCCTCCCTGAATACCTGGGGATTACAATTTAAGACGAGATTTGGGTGGGGACACAAAGCCAAACATTATCACCTGCCCAAAGAGAAAGGGAGGGACCAGGATGATTCCCAGGCAACACGCAAGCTATCTCTATCACATTGCCTCTTTTAATTTTATTAAAGCCCCTATCACTCACTGTCATTTTCTTGTTTACCAATTAATTGTTTTTTATTTTATTTTAGTTTAAGTTCTGTGAGAGCAAAACCCCTGACTTTCTTATTTTCCACTATATATCCCCATCATCTGGAGTTAAGCTTCATATATAACAGGCATTGGGTAAACATTGCTGAATGAATGAGTGAATGAATGAATGAATGAACAAATAATGAACTTAATTAATGAATCAAATTACACATTCTGGGTTATCTTTAGATGTCTACACAACATTAATAGTTGTAAAACTGGGCTGGACATGGTGCCTCACTCCTGTAATCCCACCACTTTGGGAGGCTGAAGGTGAGAGGGTCACTTGAGGCCAGGAGTTCAAGAATAGCCTGAGAAGCATAGCGAGACTGACTCCATCTCTACTATATATATATATATCTCCAGATGGCAGACGTGGTGGCACACTCCCATAGTCACAGCTACTTGGAAGGCTAAGATGAGAAGATCACTTGAGGCCAGGACTTCAAGAAGATCACTTGAGGCCAGGAGTTCAAAGCTGCAGTGAGCTATGATCACACTACTGCACTCCAGCCTGGGCGATAGAATGAGACCCTGTTTCTAAATAGATAAAAAATAAATTTAAAAACTGAAGTCCTTTTGTATGCCTTTATTTTATTGCCACTAAGATCCAGCCTAAGAAAGTGTCCTCCACCATTTTATAGGAAGATTTTATAGGCCATTTATGGATCACCATTTACTTCTCATGCACCCTAAGACTTAATTTATAGCACAAAATTAACAAAATGCTTTCCTGGAACAAAATTGCCACTACAGAAGGCATTTTGTCAAGGTCTTAAGGGAGCCAAATTAACCCAGTGGACCAAAAGAGAGAGCATCTCCATCATGCCTGCAGGGACTGACAGAGAAGATAATCTCAGTGTTTCTCAGCCACAACTGCTCTGTGGCATCATAGCTTGTTTCTACTATGATGGCTCTTTCACAGGCATGAAATTTTCTGCAGGAAAATAAAGGGTTGCACCAAATGAAAACAAAACCAACTCACTGAGAAATAATAATGCCATGCGGGAGATATAGTGGAGTCCAAGAAAATTAAAAACATTCCAAGTTGCTGTTTTGGTTCGTTCTATTTCTCGCTCTGACGAGGCCAAATGATTGATATCTATTAAACACTACTTTGTATTTCAGAGCTGATGTCTTACCCCTTTAGAATTTAAAAAAGAAAATTTAAGCATGATTATTGCCTCATGGTGTATATCAGTCTGCTCAAGGGTTTTTCTGAAGTGAATACATGTGTTTTGGCAGCTTTTATTAGGCGGAAAGAGCCACCTGCTCTAATTCTTCAGCTAGTGGGAAGGTTTGGCATTATCCTCTGTTACTCTTTAAACCAATACTCACAGGAGAATAACAGGAATATGAAACAAACAAAAGAAACGAACAAGGAGAAACATCTCTTCTATTGGTGTAGCCATCAAGGTCTAATCAGAAAGATAAAGCCCAGACAAAAGAGTTCAATGGTAAGAATTTAATTCAGGGAACTAGTTAGGAAGGTGCTGGAAGAGCTGAAACGGCCAAGAAGGGGCAGTGAAAGAAGCCATCAGCTCTCTGCCTCTCAGAGGAGATTCAGCTGAGTGCCTTTCCCCACACAACCTGATACATCAGATTAGCAGTAGCGGCAGGCTGTGACCACACAGGAAGAGCAGTGTTATGGGTCAAATCATATCCCCTCAAAAAGACATGTTGAAATTAGGTCATCACAAATGTAATTAGTTAAGTGAAAATTAGGTTAGACTGGAGTAGCGGGCCCCTAATGTAATAGGACTAGTGTTCTTATAAAAAGAGAAGAGACATAGAGACAGACTTAGGGGCAAGACAGCCTTCTGATGACAGAGACTAGAACAACATAGCTGCAACCCAGGGAATGCCAGGGATTGTGGCCACCATCAGAAGCCTGCAAAAGGTGAGGAGAGATTCTATGCAGAGTCTCAGAGGGAACACGGCCCTACTGACACCATAATTTTGAATTTCCAGCCTCTGGAGTTGTCTCTGTTGTTTTAAAATATCTAGTTGGTAGTACATTGTTAGAACAGCCCTGAGAATCTAATATGAAGAGTATGTTCAGAATCCAAGCCCAGGACCACCTGGGGAAGGTGGATTTATGAGGCGGCCAGGGCGGAAGCTAGAGTCATGGAGGGAGGGCCTAGCTGGTAGTATCTGGGAGTGCGGAGAAGATTGTCATTGCTGGAGAAGCCACCAAAGCAGGTGAGTGTCAGGGGAGGGAGGGAGAGGTGCCCTGGCTTGTCTCTCTCTCTCATGCTCCTAGCTCCTGCCAGTACCTCTCTGTTGCTGAATCCAGTTGGCACAAAAGTCTGCAAAATTGTTGTTTTCAGGGGCAGGGTGAGGACTAAATCTGAGTAAAAAACGACAAAGCCTGTCACACTAAGGCGCCCTGACGTTAGGCTGGCGTGTGCACTGGATGTTCTGTTCTCTGCAGCCAAGTCAGGAAGTACAGAATGTCGATTACTGCACATACCCTAAAAGTAGGATTGTTGAGGTTGTTTGAAGTGAAAAAGGTCCTCAACATAAAGGCAAAATATTACAAGCCACTATGGTTAATTATTAAAGGCATTTGTCCAGCGACCTGGAGTCAAGAAAACGGCCACAGTCAGAGAGATCCAAGATGGCTGATCACTAGCAGCTCGGGATTGCAGTTCCCACTGAAAGCGCAGAGAACGAGAGGACGCCACACTTTCAGACCAATTTTTGTTGCTCATGCACCAGGAGATTCCCAGCGGAGGAGCCCCATGTGTGTCGCCAGCGTGACTCTTGAGGCTGGTGAGGCAGTTTTGCCACTGCCTTGGAGCGATGGTTCTTGGTGCAGAGTCAGAAAAGCACCATCAATCTTAAAGCCGCTGTTTTGACCAGCACAGTGGGTTGCTTAGATTCTAGCGCCGGGAATCAACAAGTTGGAGGTCCACTCAGAAACCCAACTATAAAGACGGTAATTATAAAGACCACAGATGGATAAATCTATAAAGAAAGGAAGAAAACAGCCTAAAAAGGCTGAGAATACCCAAACTCAGAACGCCTCTCCCTCCACAGGGGATCACAGTTCCTCATCAGCAACAGAACAAGGCCTGATGGAGAAAGACTGTGTTCCATTAGCAGAAGCAGACTTTAAAAAGTGGATGATAAGAAACTTCTGGGAATTAAAACAACTTGTTCTAATCCAATGCAAAGAAACTAAGAACTTTGAAAAAAGGTTTGAAGAAATGTTAAAAATAACACATAATTTAGAGAGGAATATAAGTGAATTAATGGAGCTGAAAAATACAACACGAGAACTTCGCGAACTATGCACAAGTTTTAACAGCCGAATTGATCAAGCAGAAGAAAAGATATTAGAGGTTGAAGACCAACTTCATGAAATAAAACAAAAAGACAAGATTAGAGAAAAAAGGATAAAAAAGAACGAGCAAAGTCTCCAAGAAATATGGGACTATGTGAAAAGACCTAATCTACGTTTGATAAGTGTACCTGAATGTGACGAAGAGAATAAATCCAAACTGGAAAATACACTTCAGGATATTATTCAGGAAAACTTTCCCAACCTAGCAAGGCACGACAATATTCAACTCCAGGAAATACAGAGAACACCACAAAGATATTCCTCAAAAAGACCAACCTCAAGGCACATAATCGCCAGATTCACCAGGGTTGAAATGAAAGAGAAAATACTGAGGGCATCCAGAGAGAAAGGTCAGGTTACCCATAAAGGGAAGCCCATCAGACTCACAGCAGATCTCTCAGCAGAAACCCTACAAGACAGAAGAGAGTGGGGGCCAATATTCAACATCCTTAAAGAAAAGAACTTTCAACCCAGAATTTTACATCCAGCCAAACTAAGCTTCATAAGCAAAGGAAAAATAAAATCTTTTGTGAACAAGCAAGCACTCAGAGATTTCATCACCACCAGGCCTGCTTTACAAGAGCTTCTGAAAGAACCACTACAAATAGAAAGGAACAACCAGTATCAGCCTTTCTAAAAAATGCCAAAAAATAAAGAACATCAACATAATCAAGAAATTGCATCAATTAACTGGCAAAACAGCCAGCCAACATTAAATGACAGCATCAAACTCATATATATTGATATTAATTCTAAATTTAAATCTACTAAATCCCCCAATCCAAAGACATAGGCAAAAAAAAGCCAAGACCCATTGGTATGCTACATCCAGATCCATCTTACATGCAAGGATACGCAAAGACTCAAAACAAAGGGATGGAGAAAAATTTACCAACCAAATGGAGAGCAAAAATAAATAAATAGAAAGTAGGAGTTGCAATTTTTGCTGATAAAATAGACTTCAAAGCAACAAAGATCAAAAGAAGCAAAGAAGGATATTACATAAAAGGATCAATGTAACAAGAAGAGCTAAAGATCCCAAATATATATGCACCCAATACAGAAATACCCAGATATATAAGACTTATAAAGAGACTTGGACTCCCACACAATAATAGTGGGAGACTTACAGATCAATGAGACAGAAAGTTAACATCGATATTCAGGACTTGAACTCAGATCCGGAACAAGTAGACTTAATTAACATTCATAGAACTCCCCACTTTAACTACACAAAACATACACTCTTATCAGTACTACAATACAAGTATTTACAGGTTTAAATGAAATATTGGTTGGCTGCTTGTTAATTATTTTCTTCCTGTCTCTATTATTAAACATAATTACGGGCATACCCATTTTTAGACTGCATTTTAGCCCGGGCAATAAAGCAACATCCCTGTTCTCTCTCCCTCTTTCTTCCTTCCCTTTATTCTTTTTTTTTTTTCTTTTTCTTTTTTTTTAATTCTTTTTCTTTCTCTCTTTCTTCCTCAAAAAAAAAAAAAAAAAAAAAAAAAGAAAAAAAAGAAAAGAAAACGGCCACAAATTGGATTTTGGTTAATTTAGATGTTTGGATTTGGGACAAAGAAGGTTCTATCATATTATTATAAAGAAGAATTAAAACAATGGTATTGGGTATTGTTATGAAGAAACGGAGGAAATTTAGGTCTGAAGACCTACAAAATTTGTTTTTTAAATAGAGAGAGAGAAACTCCTCCTTCACCCAGTAAAATCTACTGCCAAAATCAAGAGGGAAGTGAATAGGATGCTGGAGTGGTATTTATTTGGTGACCCTATGTGACTCCCCTGGACCTAATGTTCCACAGTAAAAGTTAAATCAGTATATACGCAGTGGTCATTTGCAGAAGGATTGGAAACACTTTGTGGATTTAAATAAATGAAGATACTTAAAACGAAAATCCTCATAGTTCTTTAAAGGAAGCAGCATTTGGTAATGAACTTGAGATATAGTTTTCTTTCATATAAAACAAAATAATATATGTGCATATATTTTTATATTTTAATATTCATAGATAATATTTTAAACTTTGTGATAAGTCATACAAATTTATTTGCCAGGACAAAACACTTCTTACAACACAAAATTTATGAAATTAGTCCTTGCATAGGGGACGGTAGGCATTGTCTTTAACCAATATCTTGTTTTGACTGCTAATTTTTTTTAAAAAAAAAGAGCACACAATCATTCATCAAAAATAACAGTCAGCAAAGGACTAATGTGATTGTTGCTTTCCAAAGTCTCAAATTAGCATAGAAACAGAAGGTAAGATATCACACCACTAAATAATTAATGTGGCCACAGCAAACACAAGAACTCACAAGGAGGCCTTTGAGGTGCGTGGGCTCATAGTACATTCATGGTCATTACACCTAACGTATAACTTTCTGACCTTGCTGATTGAAGTTATATATTTATAACTTATAAATATCATATTTATAAGTTATAAATACGATATTCTGTTGGGAAAGGTTGAGGTTTTTAAACAGATCCATCAATGTCATGTTCAAACCACAACAAACATGAACTGATAAACAAAACTGAAAGCCACAGCAGGGCCTCCAAAGAACGCACATGCTCACATGCAAGCAATGCTCATTGCAGCCACGGCAACGGGGCGTGGCCTGGGGCACAGCAGGACACAAAGCTCCACTGCAGGGTGACATGCATCCCTCCACGCCTATATTGCTTAGTTGTAAAATAAGGGAAGGGAGAAAAAGACAATCCAAACTGGCAGTGGCACTCAGGAATGGAGTGTCAGAAATAGATTCTTGAGCGGAACCTTCAAATAGATCATGAATCAAAGAGGAGAGGAAAAGAAATGTGGGTTGCAAATACAAAATTAGCATAAACCAAGAGAACAGACTTTACGTATAGTGAGGAAGATAAGTATTTCTCTTGAATGCCCATAAAAGTGTCCCCTGGGAGTATGTACCATGGACACCTTCTTACCATGCCCCTGGAGGTTCCATACTAGGCAGCATGTTTTCATAGTAGCTGGGGATAGAGAGACTGAGGGCCTTGCCCCAAACAACCCAATACATCAGAGTAGAGCTAACATGCGCCTTCTCAGTCCCTGAGTTTTAAGGACTTTGATCACTTAATGGAGTCATGCTGCAGCTCTCAAAGATGACTTGGCTTCCTGCAGGTCCAAAGCACATTACCAACTTCATAAGTAACGACAGTAAATTAGTCTGTCCAATGCAAAGAGACTACCTTTGCACAATGCCTATCCTCCGCAGGGTCCCTATATGACCATAGGAAGTCTTTATTGCTGAGAGATGGAAAGGAGAGATTTCACACAAAAATCAGAATGGGCAGAGCACTGCCTGTGTACATTACTTTAAAAACACCCTATTCCTAGTGTTTAATATTCAAATGACTTGCTACTTGTTTGTCCCCTGAGAAAATGTTTTAGCGAAAGCTAGATAAATGCTACTCTGGTGATTTTTATATAAAACACCGAATCCCAGTACCATCTCCTAAAGAACACAGTTGCGGAGGCAATTCACCTGGGTGTCATGCTCACCCTTTAACCAGAAGGCCAGCAACACGTTGTTTATGATTCCCAGAGGGAATAGAGCAAACATGGCTCTATACTAAAGGCAAAGTAATGAAATCTGATGACAAAACACCATCATAAAATAAAGGTAACATTAACCATTTATTAGGTTGTAGGTGAACTAAAGATTGAACGAAGGGGTGAATTTGCTCTGGGGGTTGGTAGAAGACAGGAATATTTATAGACTATTTAGAAGGGAATCTAGTGGTAAATGGCCACCGATTTTTCCGTGTACATCAGGGAGTTTCATTAGAAAAAGTTTTTGTGTTGATATTCTCCCACAGCTGTGGCCCGCAAGTGAGTCACAATTACTGATGCCAGGTTGACAAGAAGGCTGAAGTGAGTCCAAGTGCAGGAGTCTCACGGTCTTAGGAGGCTCCATCATCTCTACTGTGTAATCTGACCAACTATTTCATTTCAGTGTACTTTTTTTCACCATTAACACAAGTGTTTCCTTTCATCTCTACACCCCTCTAAGAATGTTACTCTTAGAATGCTAAGAAAATCTTTGTAGTTATTTGAAAACAGAACAATGTAAACAAAAATAATTCTTTTCAGAGGGTTAAAGACCATTTAATCATACAAGGGTAAAGTATTCCAGGTGATTTAAAATACATCAACTTGACTGACTGTCCCAAGTGGGATACATCCTAATGGCAAAAAGAAACTCCAGAGAAATGTTAAACTGTATTTAATATTTATATTAAATACTACCTTTGCACAGTGCCTATGCCCCACAGGGTCCCTGTATGACCATAGCAAGTTTTTATTGCTGACAGTTAGAAACGAGAGATTTCACACAAAAATCAGGATGGGCAGAGCACTGCCTTTGTATATTATTTTTAAAAAACCCTATTGAGCATCATTTTTCTGAAACAAAGTTGTGTAAGGTAAAACAAGTAATTATGTTAACTTTGCCAGAACCAAGAATTTCAGGATAAGTGATAAGAGTCAGAAATATAAAATCAAAAAGTAAAATTTCTCTGACTTCTATTTCAGTTGGCAACGTCACTATGCTCATAGGTATTTTTTTTTTCTTTTAAAGTTTCATGTATTTCATAGCCTGTCCACTGAAATGGGCAAAGGAGCAATGAGCAGTCCTAGTGCTCAAACTGAGATCTTGAAACATCGTTTCGCATGTAAAGTCTCTGGAGAAATAACTGTTTCAGATCTGGTTCAGGAAATAGACAAGAGGAGCTAGAGCTTATCATACCAGATAACAAGAGAGATCTTTTAAAGATCACTAGGGTCATGTCAAAAGGGTTTAGAAGCCAAATTGAAGAGGCACACTCACTCATTGAAGATGGGACAGTTATGTTCTCAAAAAGGATAATAACTGCAAAGAATTTTCAGGCATTTAATATCATATCATTCATGAGTTCAGAATGATACTTAAAAAAATAAAGAGCCACCACTGGTCTTTGGTCACGTTTAGCAGATATTAGGGAACTAGCTATTCTAAAAACCAGAAAACAGGCATCTATTCTGCTTTTCCTTTACAAACTATGCTTAGGGATTATAATATAGCTCATGAAGAAAAGTCTTTCTTCATAGCAGCACTCCAGCTACTAAATGAAGAAGGATTTATATAATGACATCATTTCAGAGTTCCTGGTAAAATAATGGATGTAGCCAATGATCATCAATGACTGCTAAAGCTGTTAGATGAGAAACTGATGGGGAACTTTAAAATGATGGAAAGACTAACAAGATTTGACCCAGCAATCAATCTTAACATCCCATAAAGGGAGATGATCAGACATTATGTGCCTCCTGATGAAAGTACATAACTATGAGTCATTCCTGCCAAAAAATTGAAATTTAATCTGATAAATCTTCCAGATCCCATTGCCAGCTTTTAAGCAAACAGAATATGTTAAATGACACCATGAAGATGCAATTAGTAAAATTTATAGGAAAAATGACCTGGTTTCTTTAATCTCTTCAACAAACACATAGAAAAGAAAAAGAGAGGGGAAATCTATAGGTTAGAAGAAACAAGAGGGGCCTGGGGTGGTGACTCATTCCTGTAATCCCAGCACTTTGGGAGGCTGAGGTGGGTGGATTGCTTGAGCCCAGGGGCTCAAGACCAATCTGGGTAACATGACAAAACCCCTTCTCTACAAAAAAAAAAAAAAAAATACAAAATTAGCCAGGCATGGTGGCATGCGCTTGTGGTTCCAGCCACTTGGGGGCCTGAGGCAGGAAGATTGCTTGATCCCAGGAGGTCTAGGCTGCAGTGAGACAAGATCACACCACTGCACTCCAGCCTGGGTGACAGAGTGACACCATGTCAGAAAAAGGAAGGAAGGAAGGAAGGAAGGAAGGAAGGGAGGGAGGGAGGGAGGAAGGAAGGAGGGAGGGGGGGAGGGGGGGGAGGGAGGGAGAGAGAAAAGAAAGAAACTGAAGTTATATCAACCAAATGCAATGTGTATCTATTGACACTGATTCAAATAAACCAACTGCTGTGAAACACTTTCAGATAATCTTAGAAATTTGAATAGACTGAATATTTTGTATTAAAAATTATTAATAATTTTATGTGTGATATTTATGTTTTGATTATGTTTTAAAATAGCCCTTGGCCAGGCATGGTGGCTTACTCCTGTAATCCCAGCACTTTGGGAGGCCAAGGTGGGTGGATCACCTGAGGTCGGGAGTTCAAGACCAGCCTGAGCAACATAGTGAAACTCTTTCTCTGCTAAAAAGACAAACTTAGCTGGGTGTGATGGCACCTGTAGTCCAAGATACTCAGGAGGCTGACGCAGGAGAATGGCTTGAACCTGGGAGGCAAAGGTTGCAGTGAGCTGAGATCGTGTCTGCACTCCAGCTTGGGAGACAGAGCAAGACTCTGTTTCAAAATAAATAGATAAATAAATAAAAGCCCCTAACTTGCAGAAATACATACATTCGGATGAAATGATGTGCTGTCAGGAATTTTCTGGAAAAGAACCGAGTTTGGGAGAGAAACAATGGAACATTGGAGAGGGTGCTTGTGCAACAATATCAACCACAAGTTAATAATTACTGAACTAAGTAACAAATACATGAGAGTTTATTACAGTAGTCTCTACTTTTGTATGTGCTTAATAATTTTATAGCGAAGCGTTGAAAATACAAAAGCTCTAAGAACCAACGTTATCCAAATGTTTACATTTTGTTTCTGTATTACCAAAAGTTAAAATTATATGCGCATTACTCTGCTCCAATTTCTGTCCCATTGCCTGATCATTTTATTTATTCTACATATTATCCAAGAAAATTTGATAATACCTCCTTGCCCTCTTTAATGATTAAAAGTAGAATTGAGGTCTCGGTGGATCTTAGTGCAGCCACAGATTGGACCCTAAAGGGAAAGATAGGTTGGTATTGCCTTCAATTTGTGAATATAGCTCTTTAAATAAGCAGGAGCTTAAAATAACTTGCATTTGGGGATCATGCTCAGTGAATATGAAAGGATGAAACGACAATCCTTAAGCTGCTACGGCTGGGGTGGGGAGGGGTATCCTAGCATAACATAGCAAGTGTCAAAACATCGATGACTTCCACTATGTGGTACAGGAGAATTTTTAGGTCTTTCTCAAGCTGAAGGACGCCCTTTTTCTACTACTCTCCTTACAGAACAGAACTTCAGTCAAGATTCTGCAGTTTGGGGGAATTCCCAGCACCCTGAGGGGACTTCCCATTTTGTCCCTCCCTTGCTTTCCCCTGCCTTGCCTTCACAGGGTTGTGGTCAAGTTTAAATGTCATTGTGTTTAGAAAGGACTTGACACAGATTAAGGGTGGTTACAATAAATATATTCTGTCAACTTAAAAAAAAGGTGACCTGTGATGTCTTCCCACTACTCCCAGGTTGAGAGAGAGAGAATGAAGACACATTGCTGTACAGGAACTAACTGAATGCTTTGAAGGTCCTGCAAGGCCAATGTGGCTGGAATGCAGACACAATGCCAGGAGGAACAGGAGATGTGGCTGACGAGAGAGGGAGGAGTCGAATCTCATGGGAACTGTCACCTGCAGGTAGGAGGTTTAGGCTTCATACTACATGCGATAAGAAGCCATTGTTGGCGTTTTAAGCTGGCAAGTGCAGTGGCTAGATTTGCCTTTTTAAAAGTTCACTCTGGGCCAGACGCGGTGGCTCAAGCCTGTAATCTCAGCACTTTGAGAGGCTGAGGCGGGTGGATCATGAGGTCAGAAGTTCAAGACCAGCCTGGCCAAGATGGTGAAACCCCATCTCTACTAAAAATATAAAAATTAGCCTGGTGCTTATAGTCCCAGCTACCTGGGAGGCTGAGATAGGAGAATCACTTGAACCCAGGAGGTGGAGGTTTCACCAGCTGAGATCCCACCATTGCATTCCAGCCTGAGTGACAGAGTGAGACTCTGTCTCAAAATAAATAAATAAATAATAAAAATAAAAATTAAAGTTCACTCTGGCTGCATGAAGCAAAAAGGATCAGAGAGGGACAAGCATGGAATCATGTCAGAAAGGTAATCATCTTACCAGGCACAATGGTAATCTGGTGGAGGTGGTGGAAATAGAGAGAAATAGGCAGGCAGAGACACAATTTGGAGGTAGAATAGACAGGACTTGTTGATGTATTGGTTAAGAAAGATCAGGGAGAGAAATTTCAAGGGTAACTCCCAGATTTTTTTTTATGATCAACTGGAAGAAGAGATGCATATATAACTAAACGAAGAACAGAAGAAAAGAAAATCTCCTATTTGTGACAGGAGATCAAGAGTAAAGTTTTAAGCATAGTTTGAGATGCTGATTAAGCTATCCAAGTGACATCCCAGTGATGATGAATAGAGGTTAGAATGCACATTCGGAGTAAAGACATATCATCAGGCATTTAGGCTGGAGGCAGTAGCTCACACCTGTAATCTCAGCATTTTGGGAGGCCGAGATGGGCAGATCACATGACGTTAGGAATTGAAGACCAGCCTGACCAACATGGCCAAATCCCAACTCTACTAAAGATACAATTAGCCGAGAGTGGTGGTACATGGCTGTAATCCCAGCTACTCAGGAAGCTGAGGCAGGAGGATCGTTTGGACCCTATTGTAGTGAGCCAAGGTCACACCATTGCACTCCAGCCTGGGCAACAAACAAGACTCCATCTCAAAAAAAAAAAAAAAAAAAAAGGAGGAGAGAAAGAAACATTATCAGGCATTTGCATAAGGTGGAAAGGTGATAGCCCCTAATTTTGATCAGAGCAGGAAGTATTAAAAGATTAAGTGGGGTCATAGGGAGAGAGGCAACTGAAGTTAGAAGCCCCCTGAACTGATAAGTCCCATCATATTGAGGGTCTTAGGCTGTGGCCCTCCAAGTCCCAGCCACACTAGCACATAGAATGCTCCTCTAGTGAGTTCCATCATTCCGCAAATACAGGAAACCTTCTCAGCTTTCCAAGGAAACTTTCCTAGGATAGAAGCTTTCCTAGAATCCTGCAAGTATGATTCTGAGCCTTGAAGACAGGGCTGGCCCAGGGGAAGCCCAGGATTGGGACAGAGTTGACTAAGATCTTAGGATAGTGTCCAAGGACCAGATAACTTTGTTTGCCTTTCTTAAGGAGGCCTCTTATTAAGGTAATTATTGTGAAAAGTAGGAAATGATTTGTGGTACTGCCCAGTAAACCTCAAATATTGCTGGAAATCATTAATCATATCAAGGTAGGGGCATGCCATGCCCTCTTCAGAAGTGCAAGTGCCTTCTTCAGCAGGCAGAGATGTTACCCAGAAATTTTGCATTGACACTCTCAGATAAATATTTTTTAGGTCTGGGTTTGGAGTTAAAGCCACAAACATCATCAGAGTCTCATGGGTTGCCAGAATGAGAAAAGTAGTCCAAGTAAACATCTGTTTTCAATCTTTTAGTGCTGCAGACCTCTTTGAACACATCATGAGCACTGGATTCTCGCCTCTGAAAAATAAAAATCACATATAGAAAAATTCAGGCAGTTTTTAGGAGTTTGAAGAATCCCTGCTCATTGTGGACCCATTTGGGGTTGGATTCCTGACCATGACTCGGATTCAGAAGTCATATAAGATGCAGGTTAGCAAACTTTGGAAAACGAACGAGGCATTTTGAGGACAAACAGTGTCTTCCATATATCATCTTCTGGAATAGCTCAGATCTGGATGAGGTCACAGGACTTTCCATTCATAGGGATCTCTTCCTGGAGCTCAGAGATCATTGAGAGAGGGCAATCATCGTGGATGTGTCCAAGTGAAGGTAGTTTGGAAAGAAACAAAGTTAACCTTTTTTTTCCTTTACTAAAAATCTTAAGGTCCCCATTAGCAGGCAGGAAGGAAGAGGACAGGTGAGCTCCCTGGTATCGATGTATTTACAGAGAACCTAGGCATCAGCCATGCATACAGAGGACACTCATTTGGCCGGAATTCGGGCTTTGACTTTAATTAAATTCCCTTGCTCCCAATAAGACCTCTCTTAATCTGAAAACAATTTGTCATAATTGATGTACCTGCCAAGACCTCATTGCAAAGGAGCAGGAGGGACCTAGGAAATGTTGCTGGCAAAATCCAGAGTGACTCTAAAGGGGCAATGGCTTCCTTTGGTTGCTCATGTGCTGGGCATAGCAATTGAAAAGAGTCGTGAACACTTAGGAGTAAACCAAGATGCAAAGTTCACATTCGAGGGAAGAAGGATGCAGTGTGGAAGAAAGGAAGGCAGATGCTGCAGCCCTGCCTACAAACAAGGAGGGAGCCATTAAGAGCCCCAAGCCTACTTTATGAGACAGAGGAATCGAGTTTTATTTCCTTCTCACCAAGAGACACTGGAAAGCTGTGATCTTACACAGGTGGGAAAAGTGAGAGGAAAATAAGCTGTTCCTAACAGTAAGGTCTGAGAGCCTTTCACAGACAGTGTTGGTGCTATAAGAATGACCCTTGATGGTTAAGCCTTTGCAGTCTTTATTCCATGCTGTTCTAGGTAAATCTGCACACAACTTTTTCTGTGTATTTTCCAAAAAAGGAAAGTTTTATAAAGGCTCAAGTTATTTACAAATATTGTGTATATTCTTGTTGTTTCCCAGTTCTTTAAGAACCATACAGTCCAGGCGCAGTGGCTCATGCCTGTAATCCCAACACTTTGGGAGGCCGAGGCAGGCGGGTCACGAGGTCAGGAGATCGAGACTATCCGGGCTTACACAGTGAAACCCCGTCTCTACTAAAAATACAAAAAATTAGCCAGGTGTGGTGGCATTCGCCTGTAGTCCCAGCTACTCGGGAGGCTGAGGCAGGAGAATTGCTTGAACCTGGGAGGAGGAAGTTGCAGTGAGCGGAGATCGTGCAATTGCATTCCAGCCCGGGTGACAGAGTATTACCTGAATTTTCACCAGCCAACACGAATGTGCTCACCTTCCCTTGGGTGAGACCACATAGGCACAACATGCAGCTCAGGGTAAGTTCTTTGAACTTTTAGAGAGTAAATTAATTAATTAATTAATTTTTTGAGATTGAGCCTTGCTCTGTTGCCTAGACCGGAGTGCACTGGTGCTCTCTTGGCTCACTGCAACCTCCACTTCCTCCCGGGTTCAAGTGATTCTCCTGTCCCAGCCTCCCAAGTAGCTGGAATTACTGGCATTTGCCACTACATCTAGCTAATTTTTGTGTTTTTAGTAGAGACCGGGTTTTATCATGTTGGCTAGGCTGGTCCCGAACTCCTGATCTCACCATCCGCCTGCCTTGGCCTCCCAAAGTGCTGGGATTACAGGCATGAGCCACTGCATCTGGTCAAAGAGCTACTTAATTTAAAAAATAGTTTATAAGTTCTTTAATAGAAGAGGAAATGGAAACTCAGCCCCAAGGGGAAATGGGAAAGCTTAACTTCCCTAGGCAAGTCCAGTTTTGCGTGGTTTCTGTGGTACAGGTGAGTAGCTATCACACAATTTGATCTTATGAGTAAAACGGATGCAGGAAGACTTTTGTTCACCCTGTTTTATTAGCGAAAGGAATCCAAAGCTTCTTTTTTATGTTAAACACCTTAACAACATAATGAAGATAGCCCTTTTTCCTCTTGCCTGAGGGAAGTTAGGAAGACATTCCTTAAGGAATCCATTTAGGGCTTTGGAGACAGGAAAGCTAGCAGGATATGGTAAGAGCGGAAGCATCAGCTACAATAGGTAATGCCTGAGGTTCTTGAAACTGACGGAAAAAAGGTTTCCTGTACAAAAACCAAGCATCATTTTATTTTAATGCTCAATGAGACCCCTTCCAGAGAAAAACAGCCAAGTCTGTGATACTTGAAGAAAGTACTAACTCTGAGGCGGGCCGTGAATTGTACTCGCGGAAGGCCTGGGGAAGTAGGTGAGAAGTAGGGGGTGCTGCCAGCCCAAATGCTTTGTCATTTAGAACTGCCCAGGGAGCAGTTATAAAACACATACCTGCAAATTACAAGGGGATGCCATGGGCTCACAGGTGGAGCAAGACGTGCAGCGACATCAGTCCTCAGTGTCCCTCTTCTTGGAATGCTCCCATGTGGAACCCCTGTGTCACTTTGGACGAACCTCTTTCTGAAGTGCCTGGGGAGCTCTATCTCTAAGCCGCCTTCCTCGGTACTTGCCCCTCCCCCCGCCCTCCGTACTGATGATTCATCTTAAGAACTGGACATACTGAAAGGCAAGACCAATTGAGCTTTTGGGTGGGAGAGAACAGGACTTAAGTGCTCTGCTAATCTGGGATCACATTCTTCACTACAAGTCTGAAAGCTAATTGACAGCCCTAAGGCTCCCTTTTAGCAGTTTAGAAGCGGAAGCACACCAAGAGGCCTCACAACTGTGTTGTGGAATCACTGTTTTCAGTGAGGGAGAGAAAACGGAGAATTTTTAAAGCATTCTCCGCAGAGAATAGAAGTTTTCTGCCGGGAGCGGTGGCTCATGCCTGTAA